CTTTACTTGGTTATAAAGACAACATTGGCAATGAATATCTCAACGTGTCCTTCGGTATTTCGGCAAAAAACATACTAGTAGTTACTACTGAAGAGTTTGTGAATTGGTCGATTGTGTGTCAGAAATATAAAATGGACAAGTTGACAGTCACATTCACGCTCTCAGTGCATTTCTTTCGTCTATCATTCTTCCGTTCTCAATTACACAGGACATCAGGCAAGTTATGGGGATAATCTTTATTTGTCTCACACCTTCTGTGGGGCAATAAACAATGCAGGTGGAAGTGAGGCACGACAAGCTTGGTGTCTGCCTGATTGTAAACAACCGGGCGGCTGGCGCTTATTTCAGGGTTCTTATTGACAAAACCACTCAACTCTTGGTGGCTCTTAATGGAGGGTCAAATGTAACAAATTTTCACTGAGTGGCTCTTAATTGAGGGTGGCGCTTATTTGCGGGTTTTTATGGTATAGCAACTGGGCTGAGTTAGGGAGGCTCAAATCGAGTTCAAGTTTGTCATCTTTTTCATGTGTTCATAATTAAAGAATTTTTTGAGAAATACGAATCCAAAATGTCATAAAAATTTGTTTTTTGCGGTTAATTGTTTCTTCATATTTCAAACTTGAACCGCGGGTGTATAAAAGGAAAGATGGCTACCAGTTTTCAGTATGCAAATGATACTCAAGCATGAAACATTCACTCTTTTCGATAATCTTAATGTCTGTGGTGTGTTATTTTAATGTCGCATGAATATATATGTGATACTATTTCGATGTTAATTTACAAGTTCGGGGTGATATCAGTGTGATTTCCGTGTAAAAATGACGAGAAAGCACGATTAAAACAGCTGTTTTGACTGCTCAAAATGACTGTCAGTGTTAATCCAGTGTTTATGACACGAGATCTCATATACGTTAAAGCTTATTTATTGGCAAAAAAAGGGGGGCTCGACCAAAACCACAGAGCTGTTTGCTAATACAATATTAACCTATGGTCCTGGTGCGGCCCCCATAATGCGACTGCAAAGATATAGAAAAATACACGACTGATTAGGAATAAATTCAAAACAACAGAGTTAGTACAAAGAACGTATAAAAGTTATAGCAGGCTGTGCTGCTGTGAAGTTAGTAATGAGATGACAGAGGCAGCGTGACTGCGACTGTTTGAAACATCTAGAGCGATGTGGTTGTTTATTGCGATGTTGATACCGCGTGAAGTTATTTAATTGATTATAGGTAGTTTCAGCTTGGCAACTACCCAGTAATAATTACAAGGTTACTGAAAATTTACCTTCGGCCTGGGTGGCCGCCTTTGCATGTGGAGCATGCATGCATATACTCACATGGGTTTCGTCTACATCCCTCTTCTGTGTTGTAATTGTTGCAGATTTCCTTTCCATTATGAAAAATCCTCTTGCGCCCTCTCCCGTCTGTAGATCCCTGTTGTTGGTAGGTGCGTGGTGGCCCAAAACCTCTCTTTTGAGGGCAGAAGTCTTGCATGTGCAGTGTGCTGCTACAAATAATACATGCAGCGGCCTTCTGGTTTGCAACAACCTTATTGAGCAAAGAATGATTTACTACAGACCAGTCCACTTTAATTTTTTCAAGCTGAAGCCAAGTGGCAGCAGTCATTGCAAATTGCACGTGATAGTCATAAAATCTTGAACCCCAACTATTATGTATGTCCACAATGTCTGCTTGATATTCATCCAGTTCTTCCCGACGTTCTGGATGAGCACTACACATGACAGACTTATATCTGTTAAAAGCCACACAGAATTCTGATAATGTCAAAGATTTATTAAGGCGTGGATCATTGTTACCTTTAATTTTTATTTCATTGCCGTCAACATCCATTATACATCGATTGTCGGACATTTCCTGGGCAGGTATTAATAAAGCAGCAAGATTTACATATCTACCTTTAATGATGTTGACTTCAATAAGTTTGCCATTATTTACACTATTTGATAAAATTAAAATACGAAACTTGCAGACTATATCCCTTTAACATACAATAATTTACAAACATACCCTAACTTACTTTCAACACTGGATGTAATACTTGAGACAATACCAGTATCTGAGGAGAGACTTTGGCTTGGTGTACTGTACAGATATATCGGTAATCTAAGGAAACCTCTTGGTGGCAACTTCCCTTCAACAAGGAGTAAGTGATGACCATTTTTAACATTTTCTTCCTCTAATGTTGCATCCTGGAATTCAGAATTACAACAAGTCATTGTCAGTTTTCAGTGACTGTGTCAATAATAAGGAATGAAAGATTCAGCATGTTAAAAATAATGTTTTAGTTCAAATGGCATCCATTCTAAGAATAAGATTATTTTCAAATCACACAAAATTGTATAAACCAGTTGGACATTTTGAATCAAATAACAGAACAGTAAAACTAGCAAAAGCATGTCTGAAAAAATTATTAATGACACATGAAATAAAACCAACATGTCCGCCAGTCGGCCATTTTGAATCAAGTACAAATGTACACACATGTACATCAGTAACCTGCGATAAGTGATGGCAAAGCCAAATTTGGTTGAGATCAGTTTTTTGGGAAAAATGGTCACAAGACGGCCATTTTATTTGAAAGGTCAAACCAAATGAAAAACAAATCTATATGCATATGTCT